CAAAAGGAGCATGACTTTGGCACATCGGTCTCCTCGAGAGCGGCCGCACCTTGCACTGCAACGGTGGAATTGAAAATTAAGTTGGCAGTAATGAAGATTGCATTGGAGGCACTGCTTTGTGGACCTTTGCCCATCATTGCCTTGAAGGTGCAAGGGCAACGCTTCGCCCCATTGTGATAATGTGACGAATCCCACACCTGGCACTCACCAAGTTGCCTCAGGATCATTTCTTTCCGCGCAGGCTCGCATGGCAGGGGTATGTACAGCTGTTTTGGCATCCTTCGACGAGCTGCCTCATCCAACTCCTGCAAGTTGTGCAGCCAGTTGCAATTGCTAAGAACTGCAGCAAAGTCAACCACTTCATCCACAGAGTGCGCACATAGCTGTACATTGTCATCATGCATTGTCCCTCTCCTGGGAAACTGCTCCACTGCAACTATGGGACACAAATAGAGCTTGTGTTCCTGTGTGGAGGCAGCGAAAACTATTATACATGTGACACGTCATTCTGCTAACCAAACAGCTGATCGGCCTCAACTGGCCCACAGCAGTGGCCACAAGGGTTTCTAGAGGGTATTCTAAGATGTACGTTTTCGATGCCGGCGTTGTTGATAGCACAAATTGAATCAGATTCATAGTGCAAGCTACTTTGTGCCAATGAGGAAATGATTCTGGTGTGGACGTGGTTTTGCATGCTGAATAGTGGCACCAAGAGTTCAAAGGCAAAAGTGCAATTTGAATAGATTTTAAACACAGTGCTGGACTGTAGGTTCCTACCTCTGGCCTGTTGGTTGCTCCAACCAGCAGAATTCGTCGACTCAGGGAATTTGGATTGCATCCCTCCATCTGAACCAGCAGTTCAGTTTTTAGTCGTCTGCTTGCTTCATGTTCACCTGTCAAAGTCGCACACAACGTTGGAGACATGGGTCTGCAGCCCATGCATGTTTGCATCATCTTCGTTGCATTGTGAACGGAATCCATGCGGTGAGAGGTCTTGCAAAAACAGATGGTGACGAGTTGAGAATACTGCGCTATGGAAGTCTTTTCACCAAGCAGTCATTGACATGCACTCACCTTGTAGGTTGTTCCTTTTCGTCTGTTACGTTTTGAATAGTTTGTTGACAGAACTTGTCCCACTCAAATTCCTGGATTCAAGAATTATGGACCCATTTGGAGATCTACTTGCACGAGGCTGAGACACCATAATCTCGAATGCTGATAATCCATATGATCTGATCAGCAGCAACAGCAACGACATGCATGCTGCATGCAGCATGCAGAGCACCAAACACCCAAGACACTGAAGATGCACTCACCTTCAGACTTCCGAGCAGAGAGGATGGAGTCTATTTCGTCAATGAAGATAACAGATGGTTGCATGAATTCTGCAACAGCGAATAATGTTCGCACCTGCACATCAAATCGCGAATCGGTGGACAAATGAGAACTTCAGATGTCCAGAATGGCTGCCATCAGCAAGATACAACTTGGACCAGGACTTGGTGCAGAGCTGGTTCTATTTTGGGTTCTGTAGTGTGGGAAGCATGACTATGAACAAAGAATGCCGGTTTAGTGTTCTCAACACCGGCATACATATGCATCGTCAGGGTTGATCACATTTTGGCAATCGGAATCAGAGGCGTTGTCTCTTGAGGAGACTACAATACCCACATCAAAGTGTAGACTGGAAATTTTTATCGCCCCAAAAGGTGCATTCCCAAGGTTGGCCTCACCATCTTCTCCCCTTCGCCAATCCACTTGCTTGTCAAAGAGCTTGCACTGATGTTGAAGAATGTAGCCTTGATATTGCTGGCAATTGCCTTTCCAAGAAGGGTTTTGCCTGTGCCTGGTGGCCCAAAAAGAAGAATCCCCTTTGGAGGCGCACGGGCCCCCTATCCACAATATATCAGACAGTAAGTGGCAGCAACACTCTGGCAAACGACACTGTCAATGCATCCCAAATAAAGTTGTAAGGGGCTTGTCGAGGAGGTGTCGCCAGAAGAAGCAGAGCAATTAACATTTTCCTGCGGATCTCTTTGCTGCCATCTGTGCTATGCATCGATGGCATTCAACGGGCAACAGCACCGGTGCACAACCCACCATGAAGAGGGTGGGGTTCATCATTGGCCACACCACGATCTCTTGTATCAACTGCTTGGCAGCATCCTGTCCAGCGATGTCTTCCCAGTCCACCGCTGCACCCTCATCCAACACCTCGTTGCAGACCATGTCGATTAATGCAGGGTCGAACTTCTGCAGGCTCTCAGGTAATTCGCCATCGGGTCCTTCACAGCCAGTGTCCAGGCCATTGTCAGATCGACAAATGATTGAAATGGATGGAAAACCTGCAGTGTGATGGGACAATATTGACTGGAATAACAGTTGCGGCTTTGTGCTGGGTTCCCAGAGGAGACAGGATAATTTGGTTTGAAAATCGTTCCCCAACACAAGGTTTCCCACAACATGGAATACACTGTCATTCCAGAACAATCCTCCACAGAAGAATGGAAGCCAGTGAGACCAACAAAATCCGGAAGTTCCCATATGAAATGTACCACACAGATGTCATTTGGTTTCGATCATGGAGCTGCACAACTAATGTTCTGCCTATGACCGCACGATGGTGGGACAGAGGATCTTTGAATTCCGCTATGAAAACATTCGCCCACTTGGCAAAACTCTGGCCCTGGCTGCACTCGAAATGTCGAACTATTCGCATTCGCAGGCGCTTGTTCCCATAGTGTTCCATCACAGGCCAACAGCCACAAGTACTGTAAGGTGTGTAAACATGTTTCTAAAGACTCTCAATGGCTAGGATTGGCAAGTAGACAAACAATTGTCCAATAACATGTCCCGAGGGAAGCACTTCAACACAGTTACCAAAGCTGTTGATCAGCCTCCCACCATGACCTCCCACCAGCCTCCCACCTTTTGACAGTTTCAGGCCAAGAAGACAACACAAGTTGTTGTCTGCAGCAAATGCATTGCCACAAGCTGATGCTTTAAGCAGTTGGAGGCCACAAATCAATGGACAAGTCGAACACGTGCCTGCATGCGCTGCATGCCACTTACTAAGGCATATGTTCATGGACAGGGCCTCTGAAGCTAATCAATGGCAATAGTGTTGCAGATGTGGAAGCCTAGGGTCTGGTGAGTTCAGCAAGAGAGGGATGCCAGGGAAGTTCAAACCTACTAGACACCAGAAATCAGAAAACTGTCAATTCTCCTATTGTTCTTGATTTTTCACCTGCAAGTAGCTGCAGCATCTTGGCTGACATCGGATTGTCGCCTTTGCTGGTGTCTTGTCCCCCCAAGGCATTCACTGCCTTGCGAACAAAGGGAGGAACAAAGCCTCCTCGAAGTCCTGAGACGACATTCCCTTGGCCACCCTTAGGCCTTGAGAGACCAGTCCTGGGAGCGTAGCCTCCCATGCCCTGTCCAGGAGATCAACACCATTTTTTTCTTTCCAAACATGGCAAAGTGACAATGTACATGAGGGACTACACCATGCCATAGCACAAATGGGGATATCGCTTAAAATTCAGTGTGGGCTACACATAAACAAATGCAACAATGCCAAATTAGAAGAACCAACGTGTGATATGTGTACATAAGAACCATGCACAAACAAGTTCTTTAGAACATGGACAAAGAGGGTCATGATCACGTCATGTTTCTACCGTCCCTGTAGAAAAGCCTTTGCAAACTCAGAAGTGGAACTCTTTGCATTGTATGTACAGGTACAATACATCAAAGAACCAGAAACATCAATACCCCCGATCGCCACTTCCCAGGACTGCTTACCTGAGTTGAACCCAGTGCGCCTGCACCTCGGCCAACCCCCTTCATCGACCGGCCTTTCTGCGCCAACTCTGACTTCAATTTCATTCCAGCTGTCTGAAATCCCAGCGCCCCTAAAGGATCTTGCACTTCACTCCTATCATTCAGTGCTTCGTTTCCTCTGCAGTCTTCATCCATCATGTCGCCCCCATCGTCATCTTCGCCACTGAACTGACAATTAATTGTATGTGGTACAGCCTTTCGTTTGCGTCCAGCCCGTATGCGGGTTGGGTTACTAAGGCTGCGTCCTATTCACAACAGCTGCTTGTGTCATGAAGCTCATGAATGGAAAAAACACAACACAAAAATAACAGCTGCCACAGAAAAGCAAGGAATGTTCCAGGAATTGCACTGGAGACAATGTCAGAAAGTTTAAATGAGACATGTGAGTGTGCTGTGATAGCACTGCCAGTGCAAACCATCATTTAGAATACTTACATGTTGTAAAATATGCAGGACCTCAACAGGAATTCTGTTGTACCCAGCCTGGAGTGCAACTGTGGAGAGTGTCTGGTAGTCTGAAACATTTAACGGTTGATGCACTATCCATTATCAAATCCTCAGTTTGGACGTTTTCACCAGCACCAAATGAAAATGATGGAGGTTCAGATTGCAATGAATATGACGAAGCTTGAGCATAATTGAAACATCAAATGGATCGCACTTGATTTGAATATTTTGGGATTCTGCACAACTTCGTCAACCAATCCATCCATTGCATGGCGTTACAGTCTTCTCATTGGCTGGTAAGGTGCAAACTACGCTGACAAAGGGGCCAAGAAGGCAAACTTTTACCTGCACTCTCTTCGTTGCCTCCATGTGTGTTATCTCTGATGATAAACTGCACAACCAACAGCCAAACTGCTGTTCTCATAAAGGAGGCAACAATGTCCCCCAATTGGCAGTGGGAGTACTGGCGCAGCTGTTGGCCCTTGCTGTGACCATTTTGGGGTTGGAAATTCAGCGCGGAATGCACCAAGAAGAAGGAGGCATCTGAATGCGAAGATTTCATGTCTCATATGTTGTTGCCCAGCGACAGACAAGCAAATGGCAAAAGAGATCCATATAGTCAATGTCCTCAGCTAACAGTGCAAAAGCTAAGGCCATGAAGAACAGCTTCTCCTCCAACACTTCTGCCATGCAATGAAAACGTGAAAAGTTCAACTTGCACAGCTACCAGGCACAATGAAAGAAGCCCCCTGCTGTGCTGTGGTGAAGCATTGGCTCATCAGAGAACTCACACGTCGATTTTGCTCTGTTTGATGTACATCATGACTGTTTCGGCCTTGCTTTGTCTGATTGTCCTGAGCTGGCATCTCTACATCGGTGCCTGCTTGCAGTGTGGGATCTTCTCCTTTGCCTTTTGCAGAAGAATGCAGAATCCGGACCTGCACCACGTGACAGTCCAATTAGTCTGTATCAACCAGTGCTGACGAATTGCCACAACTGACTGCTTTAGAGCAGCAGCCCCCTCAGTGTTGGGTTCTGTCAATCACATGAATGCGGGTGGTGATGATATGGCCACATAGCGATCAGTCAATGTCCAAACTACAGCATGCATAACTGTGTCTGAAATGGCCACAATGTGCCTTCCTACAAAGTTGGTGACCACCAGAATTTTCACATTAACACCCAAGCAGAAGAGATATATTGGTATGTGTGGTTGAACAATAGGAAATGCACTCACATTTTTAGATTCTTCTAGCACTTGGTCCCCAAGGACAAGCAGGGATCCAATGGAGGGAAGTCTCGTGGCTAAAGACACCAGATCAAAGCCCTGCACAACATGAATGCACAAGAATCACGCACACTTCAATAAACGAGAGTATAAACAGCCCCGCTCTCACAGGGCGGGCTAGACACAGTGTCAATGAATATTTTGTAATCAATCATTTGCAGTATGTACTATATTTGTCAATATTTACTAGTTTCAGCCGGGGCTACACGGATATCACTGCAAGAGAAGATGTTATTTGTTCTCCAACTCTATGGCAATTGTGCAACTTCCGCACTTCTATCAAAGGGCGACAATGTTGTTGTGCAGTTCCCCACAGGATTTACAGGCTTTGATATCTTTTTCTCACATCAGAAAACTGCAATTCTCGCCCAGTGAATCTCCATGCAGTTGTCAGTGCCAGCAATTGCACTTCCCTCATTCTCAGGGCTACTCTTCCCTTTGAACCCAGCACCACACCAATCTGCAGCACCTTCTGGCTTGAGACTTGTATAGGTGCAGCCTGGCGATCCTGTATCCCCGCTGCCTTGCACGCACTCTCCAAAATGGCATTCCTATTCACACCAATATTAGGTGACTATTGCAGCAAAGCAACTACCATGAACAAGCCTACATTGGGCACATGTTGGACATTTGCATCCATGGAGGTATGAACAGTTGCAACTGAATGTCAGCACAACCTCTCTGTTGCCTGAAAGTACATTTTCAACAGAGCTGAGAAGCACCTCCAACAGTCCACAAGATGACGGAAACCTACTTGCCTCTGTGCTGTGGCAAACCCATTTGTATTCAGACTCTGATCTGACATTAGTGCTGCTCTTTGCACCTACAATTTTGTGCAGTGGATGCAAGCACACAAGTGCCATTTGCACCAAAGTGCTCCATGATGCACTGGATGCACATCCACATCGTTCTCACCACTGTGGCAGACAATGAACAAGGCAGGATTGCACTGGTGGCAACTATGGAACAAGTGCAGTACAATGTTGGGTATGGAGATTGTTCCTGTTGCTTGTACCTCCTGCATGTGTCTCCATCCAATGCCTTGCCAAGCCTTGCCCATGAAGTCCATGTCACATGTTCCAAATGTGCTCTTGATTCTTCATCTCGAGTGTTTAGGAAACCTAAAAGCTCTACAATCTGGCAACACATTTGTTTCAAATCAAAATTCGTCCCAAAAGACAACAATGCAATGCACCTTCCTGTTTGCAATAATCATTGTTGCAAATTCTGCAATGAAATTCTTGAGAGTGGAAAGGGAATCGATGCTTGCTCACATTTCACAGCATCAATCCTGTTCAAAAAAATACAAAGTGCATCAACTTCTATCAAAACTTGGCTTCTGCTTTATGTGCCCTTATGCACACAAGTTTAAGAGCAACAACCAAGGCACCTCATGAGCACTGACTGATGACAGCTGCATGGCAAAATGGTTGATTGGGTCAGGCGACCCTATAGGCATACTGAACATATACTGGAAGCTCATACGAATAACTTCGGAGTCTTTGCCACTGCTTTTCCATCATCTTATTATAGGGTAAGCCCTGACAAAACTGACCATACTGAACAGCCGTACAGCAGGAAATCCAAGACCACAGCACCAACGTTTTGATCTTCAGGTGGACATGTCAGGGAGACCACCAAATAATGCACTATATTGATCTTGGAAAAATGATCGCATCAAGCAGGGGCATTTGTTATGGCACATGGACCAATGTGGCCAAAAGTGTAGTGTTTGGCGGTGGAGTAGCGGTTTTGCAAATGGAAGGAAAGCACAAAGTTCTTCAACCGGAACGTAGTGCATTCTACGTCGGCCCCAATGGTATCTGTGCGTTCGCCACAAGTTGTGCGCCAACACACCCCGAACTTCGCCAAGTGCTCCGGCAATTCAACTCACAGATTCGGCGTGTTCGTTGCCCTTTGCGGGAGCATCCCACTGGAATGCCCGGTACGTTAGCCGTCTCGGCATTCTACAGGGAACTGGATGCCAGGCCGAAGGCAGCATGGTTTCGGTTTGAGAGGGCGATCATGCCCAACCGTCTCCGGCTGGTGCTCAATGGCTACTCACCGCTTTCGATGAGCTGGATGCCTCTGATTGAAACAGCAAATTCCGCAACCGATCCCCGTGGCTACTCGCCAGCTGCTCGACGGCAGCAGGGCCCTGAGCAGGGTCCATTTACAAGGCCCAGAGGTGAACTGCCAGCACCGAAGAATGCCAAGGGCACAGGTTTCCGATGCCTTCGTGGCGGGAAAAACAGTAACATGAAGGCCCACGTGGACACTTTGAGAGCATATTGATGTCCAAGGGAATTGTTTGGGTGGTTGTGTCATCGAGAAAATGACTCGCTAACTTGGTCTTGTCCACAGCAAAGCCTCTTGTCTGCAAATCAGCTCTTCTTAGTTGTCGCAGATGGGCATCGTTGGATGCATGCATAGGCACGTTGTGCATGTCGATCGGCATTGTGGATGAAATTAATGGAAGTTGGCACAACAAATTTGAGGATGTTGCAATTATAATTATTCGTACATCTAATAAAACTGAAGATTGGCATGCGCTTGGCTGCAACAACCGACTGGGTGATAGCAAACCATAGAATAGCCCAGAGATTTTGCTTGACAGTCGAACAAACTTAAGTGTGATGGGGAATGTGACAATTTCATGCAAATTTTTGGATGAACTGCTCGTGGGACTATGTTCTGTGAGGTTCTTGAGGGGGCTGAGCTCGGCCAAACGAAGTGAGATAATGATTTAATAAGATTAATGAGTTTAATGGAAGATAATTATTGTGTACCGTGGATGTAAGAGTGTTGGCGCGTGGTTTTTCCGCGCGCGCCCCGTGCGATGGATCGACGATCCCTCCGGCGATTCGCCAGGCGTATTTGGCACGGCCGCTTGAGCAATCTCGACATGACATGGACGTGGTGGGCCCCTTGGCAGAACGACCTCTGCAGTGCGTCAGCCGGAAGGGCAGATTGGGTCCAGCGTTGCCTTGCGTGCGGTTCGTAGGCAGGCAGTGACAGCAAAACGGGATGTTCGTTACAAGGTTCCCAGCATCTTGTCCCCGCGGCACACAATACGGTTACATAACCCTCAAGTCACCCTGTACTTAAACCACCGTCCCCACAAGCACCCAGACCGTTCCCAAAGCCCTCATTTCAATGCAACAAAATGGCCCAAAAATAGCCAAAATCTCAACATCGCCTTGCTGCGCTCGATGCAAAGCCTCCGCACGGATAATTGGTTTGCGAGCCTTTGCGTTGTATCTCACTCTGCTCGAATAAAGAACCAAAGATAATGTTCGCACAACAAGTGCGATGCGGCCGCACCATGTTGAATCGATCGTTCTGGAGAGTTTTCGAAACTCTACCTCCTCATGTGTAGCGTGCGTGCCTCGGACAAGACCGCAAGCAATGCAGCCGTCAAGCACAGGTAAGAGGGCACGCATGACATGCTGTCTGGCTGAGAATACGGCATGCTTCCATGGATAGGCTTTAGAACGTGGGCCGATGATTTGGACGTAGCCAAGAGGGAGCCACAACCACAGGGAACAATCTTGGGAGCAAATACCACTGATATATTTCCGTTGACCCATTGGTGGGAAAAGGTGGTTTTCTTAGCAAGGAACAATATGGAATAAAGAAAATTGCAATACGTAAGTTAGAAAAGTAACATTTATATTATGTTACACATGGGCCTATGGTGGGGGATACTCTATATTACACACAAGCCTAGTGTGGGGGACACCCGGTCTGAGAGGCCATATCCAAATGATCCTCATTCTTGATGGGAGGAGACTTTAGAACTTTCTTTTTCATCCTTCTCCTCCCCTTTGCCCGGGCATATGTCAAAAAGTGCATAAATACACCACATGGATAAGGAACGGTAGCATGCTCATAACCGTGAATGGTATGCTCGTGCGCAGCAGTTGGACTAGTGCATCATAGAGGGCAGAAAGCTCTTAGATGGGAATGGGATAAGCATTTAAATCCTGGCAAATACGAGCAAAGTTGCATACGCAAATGCCAACACAAAGCTGAGGCTTATTGGTTCCTTTATGCAGACGGTAGCCAGAAGGCGCAAATGGTCTGATGGAGTGGTTTGATGCCATTCTGGGTGCCTCTTGATGGCGCTCGATTGCTATTGATGGGCAGCCTCTCACACCTCACGGTGTGGTGTTTTGGGGTGCTCGCTTCCCCTCTCGCTCACTGTTGTGGGTCCTCAAGATCTGATAGATCACCGGGGTATGGCAAAGGACCCGAAAGCCTGGCGGAAATGGCTCCTTGCGCACGGTAGAGGTGGCCACTCAAAGGTGCCATCCGGTCCGTTAAATCCGGTTCGTTAATTTTTATCAGCTGTCCGTTAAATTTCGTTAAAGAAAGAGGGAGAAAAATTCAGAAAAAACGAAAAAAATCCCAAAAAATCGAAAAAAAACCCAAAAAATCACAACAACTGCGGCTAGTTGAAAATCTAGTATGCATAGGTTGAAATAAAATACAAACATACTCTCTAATAGCGAATTCCATAAATTATAAGTATGACTAAAACCTAAAAATCCGCAAAAAATCCAAAAATCCGCTAATTTTTGGTTAATTTTGGTCTTTTTTCGTTATTTTCCGTTAATTAACGGAAAATGAACGGAAATTAACCTCTGTCCGCTATTAACGGATCCGGGTGGCCACCTCTAGCGCTCGGTGGCGGTAAACACAGGTGCTAGGGTAGAATGATATATTATAACTTGTCAAACATGTAATGTTTTGCCACTCCCATGTAGCACAGCTGATTCACCATATATTGTGTGGTCAACACACCAAAAAATGCAATGTACAATATTAAAATATAATGTAAATATTCTTGCATGCCTCCACCAGTCCCTAGGAGCTCACAACCACCTATAATACTCTAGAAATGAATAGTTAGGGCCACTAAATTGGCCCCAAAGAACGTGACTATAACTGCCCCTAAGTAATTCGTTGGATATTCGTTGGATCATAATAAGTTGGACCCTGTTGTACAGGCGTGTGCTTTAATGTAGTTTGGACAATCATCAGCAAGCCCTTCAGCGGGCAAGAACACTCTGTGGGTAGCATCGACTCACAAGGCAACCCCGTGGGTAGACAAGTTGAGCAGTAAAGACAGCGGGATCAATGCACCTGTCACATTCGGTGTGAAGCAGTCTTTTAAAAAGGCCGAGCAACCCAAGGGAGCAGAGAAAGAAAAAGTAGGTAAAATCCATGGTGTAACTCCCAAGGAGCAAACCCAAATATCACATGTCTGTGCTGATGCAGAAATGGGTGATTTTGCAAGGCATGATAATGTTGTTTATTTTGGTTTAGTGGGTGCTCCAGCCAATCTCATTCTTTAGAAGAGGAAGGTGATATATACACTCATTAAGAAGCAAGAAGCAGCCCTGGAGAAAGCAGCCTTAGGGAAGGCAACCCTGGAAAAGGCACGGGCGGAGGCTGGCAAAAAAGCCTAGCTCATTGCAGCATTGGGTAAGGAGAAGGCCACTATATATCTCAAAGACAACGAGGCGTAGCGAGTGGGTCAGCCAGCCCCAGCACCCCAACAAGGGGAGAGTAGTGTAGGTTAGGAATCCTAGAAGATCAAATACACCATGAGCAAACCTTACCCGGCAGCCAAACGGCGAAGAGATCCATATAGGATCCGTGAGGCATGCGGGACACAACAGGGCGCTACCTTACTCGTACACCCTCTAGCTGTACATGATACAAATGGTTGTTGGGATATGCTGGCGGCTCTTTATGATAGGCAATTTGGTGTGTATTGCAAAGGGTATTATTACCTTGCAGGTGGAAAACACCCTACAGGGCCACAATGCCCCCCGACGCCCTTTGCAAGATAATCTTGGGATCATTCTGGCATAGTTGTGCCCCATAATTGAGGTGCAGCAAGAAGCATTTAAGATCCATATGTCAGATGTTCAAGAGGCTGCCACAGAATGGCGAGTAGTTTGGTGGACAAGTAGGAAGATCCCAAATGAGGGGACAAATCCTACACAAGTTGCTCCGAGAGTGCCAATTCTGACGGCACATCTAATAACACAGGCACATGCCCAGCCCTTTACCTTAGGAAGACTAGGTCTTGGACCTAGACGTGGCCGCCCAGCTTTTTTTTGTAATTTTACTTTTGTAACTTTTTTGAACTCAAACAATACGTCCGTCGATTTTCTGTCACTTTGCCGGGGCCGGTTTTCTGTAGCCGTTCATGCCACATCAGCCTTCAATTTTTTGGCTTTGGAGCTGTCCGTCAAGGGGGTGTTCAGCTAGTTGTTTCTGTAAAAGCGCTTTTTTCTGCTGCGTTTCCTGGCGTTCCGTTGCCATCCATCAGGGACTTTGAGATTCTAGTAGTGTTCCATTGGTCAGTGGCAGTTTCTGTTGGAGGCAATTTTTTCCAAGCAGATTTTTCTCTGTGTCCATCAACCTTTGCCTCCAGGTTCAGGCCACAGTACTGACATAACGAGTTCCAATATTTCAACATGTTTAAACAACGCATGTCTATCTATTTACAGACCACGCCATCATAAATAAATGCGCATGGATAAATAAGTATATATAAATGCTACCTCGGCCGACGGCCGGTACTCCTTGCCAGACAGGGGACGCAACCCGTTGTCCTTTCTTGGCCATCCCTTGAAAACGCTAAACTACTGTTATTAACAGGTGATCCCCCACTGCTTTTTCCTAGCCAACCCACTGCCAGTACTCCTTGCAAACGCTAGACTACTATTGTTAACACACCTTGGGCCCCATGGCAATCCCCTGCTGCTTTTTCCTAGCCAACCCATGGCCGGTACTCCTTGCTAGACTGGAGGTGCAACTCGCCATGCGCTAGAGCACACATGAACACCTACCAACACCTATAGTCCTAAGATGATCGCCCACTGCGGTAATGAATGGCTTGTAATCCTTTGCCAAATGGACACATTCACTCGCAGCAACTATAACAAAATTTGTCATGGTACATCATGTGATGCCTTGGACTATTATGTGGTCTTCAATAACGTCTTGGATGCTAGCTTCCTGCATCTAGTTGGATGCCTCGATATCCTGGCGCATGCTCCTATGCTCCCTTTATGCTTCTTTTTCCCTGCGTGGTAGTCTTCCCACCCTTGGCGCTGTATGTACCATCCCACCAATGACCCTCTGCAGCCAGGC